TTCAATGTGATCCCAATCAAAATACTAATGATATTCTTCTCAGATCTAGAAAAAATGATGTTAAAATTAATATGAAAACACAAGAGACCCCAAATAGATAAAGCAATCTTATACAATAAAAACAAACCTGGAGGCATCACAATACCAGATTTCAAGACATACTACAGGGCAGTTATAATCAAAATAGCCTGGCACTGGCACAAAAATAGATGTGTAGACCAATGGAACAAAACAGAATTTCAATCAATCCACATATCTACAACCAACTAATATTTGAAAAAGAAGCTAAAATCAATCCCTGGAGCAAAGATAATCTCTTCAACAAATGGTGCTGGGAAAATTGGATCTCTACATGCAGAAGTATGAAATAAGATCCTTACCAAATACAAAAATCCACTCAAAATTGATCAAGTTACTGAATATTATGACCTGACACCATCAAATTACTAGAGGAGAACATTCAGGAAACTCCACAAGACGTTGGCATATGCAAAGACACCTTGGAAAAGACCCCAGAAGCAAGGCAATCAAAGCCAAAGTTGACAAATGGGATTATATCAAGCTGAGAAGCTTCTGCCCTACAAAAGAAACACCAGGAAAGTGAAGAGACAAGTAAAAAAAAGGGGGGAAATATTTGCAAACTATGAAACTGATAAAGGATTAATATCCAGAATCTATAAAAAGCTAAAGAAACTCAACAACAACAAAACAAACAATCCAGTTAAGAAGTGGACAAAGGACTTGAACAGGCATTTTTCAAGAGAAGAAATTCAGACAGCCAACAAACACATGAAAAAATGCTCAAGATCACTAGCCATCAGAGAAATGTAAATCAAAACCACAATGAGATTTCACCTCATCCTAGTCAAAATAACTCTCATACATAAATCAACAAACAACAAATGCTGGTGAGGATGTGGGGGAAATGGTACCCTAATTCACTGTTGCTGGGAATGTAAACTGGTACAGCCATTGTGGTAGACAGTATGGAGATACCTCAGAAAACTAAAATAGATTTACCATATAACCCAGGAATCCTAGCCTTGGGAATTTACTGAAACAAAATGAAATCATATCAAAGATTTATCTGTACTCCCATGTTCATTGCAGCTCAATTTCACAATAGCTAAGAAGATATAGAATCAACCCTGATATCTATCAACTGATTACTGGATAAAGAAAAAAAAATTGAAATCCTGTCTTGTGCAACAAAATGCATGCAACTGGAAACCATTATACTTAGTGAAATAAGCCAGTCCCAAAAAGACAAATATCATATGTTTTCCCTGATTTGTGGTAACTAATAGTGTACCTAAAGTGTAATATATAGGAGTGATCTTTGGAGTGAATGATTGTTTAAAACACTTGTCTGTAATGTTGAGGAACAGTGATTTTTTCTTCATACTATTTGTTGAACTTTTTACTTAGTATAGGGTTAATCTAATGAATAAAAAGTAAACTGAGGCCGGCGCCGCGGCTCACTAGGCTAATCCTCCACCTTGCGGCACCGGCACACCGGGTTCTAGTCCCGGTCGGGGTGCCGGATTCTGTCCCGGTTGCCCCTTTTCCAGGCCAGCTCTCTGCTGTGGCCAGGGAGTGCAGTGGAGGATGGCCCAAGTCCCTGGGCCCTGCACCCCATGGGAGACCAGGTTAAGTACCTGGCTCCTGCCATCGGATCAGCGCGGTGCGCCGACCGCAGCGCGCCGGCTGCTGTGGCCATTAGAGGGTGAACCAACGGCAAAGGAAGACCTTTCTCTCTGTCTCTCTCTCTCTCACTGTCCACTCTGCCTGTCAAAAAAAATTAAATTAAAAAAAAAAGTAAACTGAAAATAGATCTTTGTAAAAAGTATGGGAATAGGACAGGGAGGAGGAAGAAGTATGGAAGAGTGGGCATGAGGGACGTTAGGGTGGAAAGTATCACTATGTTCCTAAATTTGTATATATGAAATACATGAAATTTGTATGCCTTAAATTAAAAAAAAAATTAAAAGAATATAGATGGGCTTGTCCTTGTGGCATGTAGGTATAGCCAGCCTACAATGTCAGTATCCCATATAGGCATCAGTTCTTATCCCATTCCTGGTTTCCCAGCCTGTAGTTCCATGTTATCTAACTAATATCCTATTGGTTTTGTTTCTCTGGCAAAACCTAACACTGTGTCCTCAGGGACACTAGGGAAATCCTTTGCTAAATAGGAGGTGAGCGCCTCTGCTTGGAATGGACAGGGCTGGATAGAAATTTAGTAAAGACCTAGAGCAGTGAAGGTTCAGAATGGCTACCAAGGGAAATAGTAGAGGAAGATGACCAAAGATAAATCAAAGAGCTATTGAAACATCCTACTGACCGAGCCTAGATTGGTCCACTGCAAATATCAGTGTTTCATCTTCATGGTTTCATGATTGTTTTTCCAGCTACAGGAGTTAGAGAAGATGAATTGCTGGACCATCTGGACATTGATGTTAAGCTATTGTCACCCCTCCTGGATAGGATGTTTGTGGGATGGGCACAGTGGAAAGCTCATTGCTTAAAAGGGCTATTTTAGAGGCCTAGTAAAAATAACTCCATGGTTCAGACTGATATAAAACTTGAGTCTGAAAGAAGGGACTCATAACCTTGGAGAAAGTAGAATTGAAATAAAAAAGTGAGTTTAGTGGGAGTGAGAAATGGTAAATAGAACAGAATACTGGACTTTGAGTGATGCAGAGGTAGGATTCCACTGGTTGATGACAGGTAAGGAGAAGGTTCTAAAACAGAAGGTGATGTTGCAGATACAGTTGGTGTATTATAGTAGGCTAACTGATGTCAGAAGTAGAATATAATGGCTTGATTATAGTGGAAGTTTATTTCTTGATCACAGAAATATCCCAGGAATGTGGAAATGTGACACTGGCTGCTGGAGGCTCTGTCGTCTTCAATTGGCAGAGTCTAAGAGCATCTGGACATTGACACCTAGCTGGTGTAAGGAAAAAGGCAAGGAGGAGCCCACATAGGTGGTTTTATGGCCCAGGCCTGAAAGAGGTTTGCATCATCCCTTCACACGTCACTGGTCAGCATACCAAGTTATAGGGAAGTCTGTGATGTGTGAAGTTGTGTGTTTAGCAGCTCTGGCTAAACTGAGGCTGAAAGCATGTTTTTAAAGCCTTTACTGTTTGGATGCTGCTACTTAGTTCAGTTCTTAAGTCCAGAGATAAATTTTAAAAGGACTGACATTACATCATGTTGAGTGAAATAAGTCAGACACAGAAAAACAAATACCTCATACTCTCTCATATATAGAATCCTAAATTTTAAAAAAAAAATGAAATAAAAAATGCTCATTTCAGTTTTGCTGCAAACTTTTGTCAATCTTTGTTTTGTATCTTTGTCAAATTGTTAAGAATGATGTATTACAATAGTTTCAATGATCTGTGATTATTTTAAAATTTACTGTGTGTAAGTAAAATTGACATCTTGTCATTGGATTATTGTTTATAATACTTGCCTATATTTCTACTGAACTGTGGTCTTTTTATTTGTTGAACTCTTGATTTAATGGCACATTAAGCTTTCAACTATAATATAAATTTTTAAATGTTATCTCAAAAATTTTTAAAAATTTAATATTTGGCTAAAAAAACAGAGCTGACATTAAAAGATCACCTGAAGAAGACTCATGTGGCAATACATAGGACATTATCAATTCTAATTATACTCCCTAAGTCTATCCTTTTTAAGTTTGTCTGGTCTGTGTGACCTAGTTTCCTCATTTGCTGAAATGAGCTTCATTCTGTTTCCTTCATCAGAAATGAGTACAAGATCTTTTTTTGGAGTACAGCCCCTTTGCCATTCACCTTGTGCCAGCACAAATACCCAACAGCAGAGTTGGTCGTGATGCCACTGAAAGCATTAGCCCTCTCCGTAAGCCAAAATGGCTTTTCGGCCCAATTTAAGTGCAAGTCCCATTTGACTTGTGACTTACTTTAATAAATGAGGTTAAAAAAAAAATACAAGTCAAACAAATACATTAACACTTCAAAAAGTTCGTGAAGGGCCAACCACTTGGGGCACCTCTATTGCACATTTGGAGTGCCTAGTTCAAGTCTTGGCTCAGCTTCCTATTCCAGCTTCCTGCTGATGCATCCCTGGGAGGCAACAGGTGATATTAGAAGTACCTGGGCCCCTGCCACCAAAGCAGGAGACCCAGATTGAGTTTCAAGTTCCCAGCTTCAGCCTGGCCCAGTCCCAGCTGCTGCAGTCACTTGGGGAATGAACTGGTAGATGGAAGATTAATCTCTCTCCCTCTTTCTTTCAAACAGAATGAATATAAATATAAATATTTCTGGGGCCAGCGCTGTGGCATAGCGGATAAAACCGCCGCCTGCAGTGCCAGCATCCCATATGGATGCCAGTTCAAGTCCTAGCTGCTCCACTTCCAATCTAGCTCTCTGCTACGGCCTGGGAAAGCAGTACAAGATGGCCCAAGTCCTTGGGACCCTGCACCCACATGGGAGGCTTGGAGGAGGCGCCTGGCTCCTGGCTTCAAATCTTTGCAGCTCCAGCCATTGTGGCCAATTGGGGAGTGAACCAGTGGATGGAAGACCTCTCTCTCTCTCTCTCTCTCTGCCTTTCCTTCTCTATGTAACTCTGACTTTCAAATAAATAAAGCTTTAAAAAAATTTCTAAAAGCTGATGGATAAATTGAATTAAAGATGTTTACTTTGGTGCAAGCATTTTTAAAAATCTGCATGTTTTTTCATAATAAGCATTTTTGCATATTATGGAAAAACTGTACCAAAGTAAACTCATACTTTTAATTCCATTTTCCAATAACACTTTGAAGCTACATTATAGTTTTTCTCTGTTAAAAAAGTGCTCAGTATTAATTTTTAGATAAGATGGAGCCCTCCCAATATGTGTATTATTTACCCCAAATTTCCCACCAATTGGAGGAGAGCAGAGCAGCATCAGCTGAGAGTCATTGGCTGAGAATATTGACCTCATAATCGCTCCAATCACAATGAGCTGCCTACAGCAAGGAGTGGGGCTGGGGCACATGGAAGAGCTCTACACCAAAGAGGAATTTCTCCCCCAGAAGAGACAGCATCTTAAGAACCATGTGATAAGATTCAAACGATCTGCCTGTGAACTTGAATAGCTCTGCAGCTTCCTTCCCAACGTTATATGGAAATTCTTAAGGAAATAAACTGTATCTTGGTGGGAGAAGGCTGTTTGAAGAAACATGGTGAACTACTACAAAGTACTAGGGGTACCTCAGAATGCTTCCACCTCCGATATCAAGAAGGCTTATCACCAATTGGCTCTACAGGTACATCCAGACAAGAACCCAGAGAACAAGGAGGCAGCCGAGAAGAAATTCAAACAAATAGCAGAGGCCTATGAGGTCTTGTCTGATGCCAGGAAGCGCAACAGCTATGACATGTCCAGAGGGAACTACACCAAGAGGGTATATAGAGGAGATGGCAGAGACAGAAGCCATTTGGAAGAAGACCTGTGCTTTGAGAGGCCACACCGTGTCTTTCAGAATGTTGTTGAGGATGAGAACCTCCTCCCAGGACATAGTCTTCCCACTGGCCATGCGAGTAGGCCTGGGAGATTCCACTACACCATCTTTGATGTGACCCCCATACTGGACACAGGATTCTCCACTTTTGTATCCCTGGCCCCCAGATCAAGTCTCCCTACCTCTGAGCTATTTGTACCCTTTGTAAGCATCGGAATGGGAAACTTCAGACTGGTCACCACTTGCAGCCAGATAGTGAACGGTGAAAGAGTTGTTACAAAGAGAGTGCTGAAAAATGTGAGGGGGATGACTGAAGTGGAGCGAGAACGAGAATTTCATCCCATTCATCCATCCCGTTGGTAAGAAACTGTTGCTATGTTCTGTAACAGGGTGACTTTCACATGAGGCTGGTTTGTCTGGATACTTATCCAAGACAGAATTGGAATCAGAGTGTGTGCAACTGGAGTGGATGGAGGTCAGCCCAGTCCAAAGCTCTTGTTTCTCAGAGGAGGAGAGTAATGGGCCAGGGGTGGGCATAAGAAACAAGTGAGCAGCAGGCTTGGCCTTCGAGTCAGAGACTTCTGATTCTAGATAGACCTGTCTTTCCCCTCTACCACACCTGCGTGGTCTTCTGAGCCAGTCGCAGGGCCCCGCATCACAGATCCCACTGACTTCTCTTCAGCCTTGTCCCTGTCCTGTCTTGAGTCGCCATCAGTGGCTATTCTTTTTCTCTCCCTAATCTCTTTGCTTCTTTGCTTCCCACATCACCTTTCTTCCCAGGAATTTCCCATTGATCTTTGCATAGTCAGATTCAATCTGAAGAGTGCCTAGATGTAGATTAATGCTAGCAGAGAGAGTGAAAAATAAGTGGGTTGAGATTTTTTATATATACTGTTTTAACAGTTTTTGAGTGCAGTGGATGTCAGAAATTCTGCTTCATATGTGTTATCTCAAAAGTCCTTTCAGCAGTGAACTGAAAACTACTCTTCCCTCATCATCTAGATAAGGAAATGAGGCTTATGGAGATTAAGTCATGTGCCTCAGAGCCCACCTAATAAGCAGTGAAATAGTGTCCTGTTCCAAAGCACGTGCTTGTCTACTGAGCTGTTACAACTAAAGATCTTCCTCATTTATTTTTATATCTAGAGTCTTCCCCTCATTGGGAGCTTAACCCTATCACCTCTAACCCTCACTGCACGGCATGAGTACTTGCTGAACCACATTAAGTATGCAAACATTTTGACTTTTATTGTCCAATAGCAACTTTTATCCAAACATAGAGTCACTGTAAAGTTTCCACTGAAGCTAACAAGTGATTATCCATTAACAGAGATCCCAAGATGTGAATTATCCTTTTGTTTAGCTTTAATCATGATGTATATGTGAAGTCTTCTTACTTGTTTAGTTTGCTTTGCTGGTCTCGCTCCAACCCCTTGCTTTATGTTAATAAAAAGACTGGACTCTGGAGGAGTTTTTCTTGTGGAAAATGACTGAAGGAGACTTTGTTGGAACGTGTGTCTTCCAGTGTTGCAACCTATGTCTTCCAGTTTTCAGGCCCAAGCTCATTGTAGTACACCTTGCTGATTGGCAAAGCATAGATATCGTGTGCATCACAACATTTTATGGAACGTATATAGCAAATTATTAGCTTTCTTAAGAAACTTTCCTCTGTGAGATTTTTGTAAGAAAAATCATTTTATGTGGTATCTGAAATTTTCGATCTGAGAAAATTTTTTCTGAACTTTAAGAAATATGCCTGTATCCCTCTGGCATTCCTCTTATAGAAAGGAAGCAGAAGGTGGGTTTGGAATCAGAACAGACCCCATTTCTTTCAAAACCTATGACTTCCCACTACATGTCAGGATGACAGGTACTGTGCTAAGTATTTTCTATCAATCATTTCCTTTTTAAGAAATATATATATGTATATATTTATCCATATTTTATAAAAAGTACATATGTTTATTTATAAATATATAAGGTATATATTTATAAAAATATATTTTATAATATATATTTATATATTTGATATAATATATTTATATATACCTATGTATAAATGAAAGGCAGATAGAGAAATAGACTAGAAGACATTTTCCATCTACTGGTTTACTCCCCAAGGGGTTGCAATAGCTGAAGCTGGACCAGGATGAACCCAGGAGCCAGGATTCTCCTCTCATGTGGGTAGTAGGGACCCAAGCACTTGAGCCATCATCTGCTGCCTCCCAGGCACCTTAGCAGAAAGTTGGATCAAAAGCATAGTCAGGACTCCGATATGGGGTGCAGGTGCTTAACTCACTGCACCCAATGCCAAACCCCTCCCCACCGAGTGCAGAAGGGATTTGTTTCCATTTTACCAGTGAAGAAACTGAGGCTCTCAGGAGTTCAGTGCCTTCCACAGAGCCACATGCCAAGCTGTGGAGACACGTGCAGACTGCAGTTTGCCTGGCAGCTCTCACTTTGGTATGCTGTGTTCTACTCATTATTGTAAGCTACTGCCATAGTGGTGGTCAAGAAGAAAGTTGTCATATGTGTGAATTAACTGTGTCTGCTTTGACGTTTTTTAAAATGAGGATTTCCAGATGGAAACTTCATTTACCAACCCTGGTCTGAGGTAGACTGTTCTGTGTCTACTGAACAAAGGGAAAATCAAATTGAAGCATGAAACATGATTTTCCATTTTGTCTTAAGATCAAAACCTCACCATTTTTCAGACATGCTTAGATTTTGATGGAAGTGCTGAGTTGTAAAAGAACGTTTTGCCAATGAAGATTTTCTGGTTTTGTTTTCAAGAATTCACTTATTATAGGAAGTTTTCTTGTATCAAACCAAAGCATTGTCAGCTCTTCCTGATGCCTGTTTAAAATAGGTAGAGGGTAAAGTGTGTGCAGAGAACAGCAAAGTGGGGAGGGCTTGGCCATGCAGTAAAGTGGCCCGGTCTGTATTCGAAGCGCAGGATGGAGCCTGAGCTTTGAAGTCATCTGTAGCTCAGGTATGGTGACCTCACAGCGGCTTCAGCACCACTGCTGGCAGTGTCCAGGGCCCAAAAGTCCCTCTGCCAACTCCCAGACTTGCAGGTGTCACTGAGGATCAATCTTTTGGATTACTTGTCACCAAAATAGGAGGAAAAAAGGAATTAGTGAGTCAGTTCCTGAGTCCTTAAATAATTTGCTACTCTTATCCTCTCAAAAAATGGCTCTTTTATATGCTGTAGTGTTGAATATTGTCTCTCACAAATTAACATGAGTCATTCTGGCTTCTAGCAGTTGACAAAAGATTTCCAAAACACAAAAAAACCAGTGTAGACTCCTTGGAAGCAATTTCTTGCTCTGCTCTCATCCCTGTTAAGTGGTTGACAAGTGAAATGAGGACCACAGTGCTGTTGAGAATGGTGGAAATAATGATGACTCCTAGCTCAGGGGGCATTTGCAAGAGCAGTTTTGTACAGCATCCTGTCAGAAACCCTGCATCCTCACATTACCAAGCAAGGAGACCCAGGAGGAAGGGACTTGGCACAGGTCACAAAGTGGGTGTTTCCGTAACCCCTAGCCCCTAGCTTCTTCACCCACATGCTGAGGCATTCAAAGCACCTTTTCTTCACAGCCTGGCCAGGGGCATGAGAGTTTGGAGAAAGGTCTCTGGATGATGTAGGAGGGGTCACAGTTCCAGTAGTCGCAGTGGTGTGTTGTGTCTCCTTGTCTGTCGGTCAGTTGGGGAGGGAAGTACAGAGCATGGGAGTAAAAAAATATTCAGTGATATTTCACAGTTGGTTCATGTCTTGAACCCACATCTTTTTTTTTTTTTTTTTTGACAGGCAGAGTGGACAGTGAGAGAGAGAGACAGAGAGAGAAAGGTCTTCCTTTTGCCGTTGGTTCACCCTCCAATGGCCGCCGCTGCAGCCGGCGCACCGCGCTGATCCTGGCAGGAGCCAGGAGCCAGGTGCTTTTCCTGGTCTCCCATGGGGTGCAGGGCCCAAGCACCTGGGCCATCCTCCACTGCACTCCCTGGCCATAGCAGAGAGCTGGCCTGGAAGAGGGGCAACCGGGACAGAATCCGGCGCCCCAACCGGGACTAGAACCCGGTGTGCCGGCGCCGCAAGGTGGAGGATTAGCCTATTGAGCCACGGCGCCGGCTGAACCCACATCTTTAAAGAAGGACCCAGAGTCTTAAGAGACATCAACCCCACAATAACCAACAGTAAAAATAAGGTGGCATTTGCTGCTTCTCGGTGCTTCTAGAAGTTTCAAACTACCTTAAATATTTGGGGTCCTCACATCTTTTGTGAGAAAGCCCATTTTTATTTCACCCCAAAGCCTTGTAGTCTCCAAAATACTTGGAGTGAAGCAGAAATAATTGTGTACCTTGGAGGGTGTGGGGAATGGACTCTTAGCAGAATGGGGTGGGATTTGTGGCTGGCAGAGCCCTTGCCCTTGCTACCTTATTTCAATCTCGAGGACCCGTGGAGAGGAATGCGACAGGCGCCCCCAGGATGGAGGGGTTGACTTTTGGGTTGAGGCAGGATGATTTTCCTTTGAAAGGTTTTCCTTTGAAGAGAGTATGTCATTTATCTCATATCCATTGCTACAAATAATAAGATTCCAGGAGGCCTAAGGTTCTAGTCCTCATTGGACCATCTAGACAACATACACGCAGTTCTCACTGTCAAGGGAAGCAAAAGGGGATTAATAAAAAGAACATTAGCTTTGGCTGCAAGCAGATGAGAGATTTAAACCCTATGTTACCCTTTGAAATTTCCCAACCTTAAGAAGATTAACTTCTCATTTGATCCTTAGTTTGCCTATAAAATAAAAATGATAATCGCTCCCTATCCTAATTTATCTTTATTTTAGAAATTAAGTACCCAGAAAATTCTGTACTTTAATATTTTTTAACGTAGAAAACATCTTTGATCCTTAGGGGTGCATGTTGTAACCTTTCCATGAGACTGTATTAACCTGTGATCTTATAAACAAGATCAGTTCTGGATTGTGTTTAATCCCAAAACACAAGTAAAAGATGGGAGATAAAAATAGGAGATTGCATTTTTCCCCATGTTGGCACTACTAAAGAAGTAATGTTTTTAGCTTGCAGACAATTGGCATGACTTCTGCCTTCTAACTTCCTTTTCTCTTCATTATCCTTGAGTTGTTGGATTTAATGTGTTGGCTTTACCCTCTGTTTCCATTCTAGGAAATTGATGGAAAATCCCTGCTACTGATGACAAGGAATGATGTGTTGACAGGACTTCAGCTAAAACTGGGACCTGCTCTGAAAATCTATGAGTATCATGTAAAACCTCTGCAGACGAAGCATTTAAAGAACAGCTCTTCATAGTACAGTAAATTGGGGTCTCAGACCTCAAAAAATACATAATGACATAATTTAGTTTCATGTGATGAAACTTTGTAAACACAATGCATACATGTGTATATGTAAAGAATTTCAACCAAATGACATGTTATCCTATTGGATAGACTAGGCAATCCATCGGCTGACTCGAATTCAGCCAGGAGGAGCAAGGGCAAGATGTTCCCAGGATAGTTTTCCTTGTGGAATTTATCAAATAGAATAATCTTTGACATGATAAGATACCCCTCCCCACAAAGGGTTTGAAACCATAAGGATTTTCTTCATTTCTTCAGAGTTCTTCTCCAAAAAAATCCTGTTAAAAAATCAAATGAAACAACTATCTTTTAGTTCGACTTAGGAAGAGTTAAAAACAAGAAACATGGGGAGGGGGAGAAAGAGACAGGGATTACTGTCCCCCTTGAATTCTGCTCCTTAGAGCTTGTGCTACTCGGATGGCATTGCCGACACCCTTTTTTAGAGAGGGTCCTCCACTTGACCTTATTAAGGTTTCACTGGGATATGCTGCAATGTTTGAAACGAACGTGCATCATGACCCCTTCAGGAGCAGAACTGTAGCTCTGAAAAGAGAAACTCTTGTGTCCTGGGGATATCCATCCATATTTAGCTAGCTTTCATAGGGGGTAATGGTATTTTCTGCTTAGATTTGTTTAACGTAGTTCTTTGTTTCTGAAGAAAGCATTTTTTTTTTTTACTTTATGGTTTGTATTTATAATTTGTTTCTGAAGAAATTTGCCAAGAGTTATAGTTCAAAAGCCTTGTTACTAGTACAGAATATTTTTATATATATATTCCTTTGATGATGTAATTTTTAAATTGTTCTATGCTTTGTTTGATTCCTGGTTTGAGTACTTGTTTTTAATAACTTGAAAAAGTGGGCTTGCTACATCTCTGTTCAAAGAGACATTTGTTCGATCTCTGTGTATCAATGCCTTGTTGAGTTGGTGCTTTGTGGTTGCAATAAAGCATTGCTTCAGTTTATCCTCCCTGTATCCTTGAGCCTTTCAGTTGGTTGCATCTTTGATTTAGATGGAGGATTAGAGCCTTCTTAAAACCACAGGGAGAAAATTCAGCCTTAAAAGTCTGCCATCGGATCAGCGCAGTGCACCGGCCGCAGCGCACCAGCCACGGCGGCCATTGGAGGGTAAACCAACGGCAAAAGGAAGACCTTTCTCTCTGTCTCTCTCTCTCACTGTCCACTCTGTCAAAAAAAAAAAAAAAAAAAAAAAAAAAACTTTAGATACAGAAGTTACATAGCGGGGCTGGCGCCATGGCTCACTTGGTTAATCCTCCGCCTGTGGCGCCAGCATCACATATGGACACCAGGTTCTAGTCCCAGTTGCTCCTCTTCCAGTCCAACTCTCTGCTGTGGCCCAGGAAGGCAGTGGAGGATGGCCCAAGTGCTTGGGTGCCTGCAACCGCATGGGAGACCAGGAAGAAGCACCTGGCTCCTGGCTTTGGATTGGTGAAGCTCCAGCTGTAGTGGCCATTTCGGGGGTGAACCAATGGAAGGAAGACCTTTCTCTCTGTCTCTCTCACTGTCTAACTCTATCTGTCAAATAAATAAAAAAGTTACATAGCTCTATATAATGGATTTATGTTCTTTATAAACTGAATCATCAGTCTTCCTCTTAACCCCAATCTAGCAACCAATGTTAGCCAAAGATTTTTGATTTGATGCAGGTCAGTGGGAGTCTTGATTTAGGTTTACATCTGCTAAAGGTTTGGATCTTCTTTCTAGAAAAAGACTTTTAATACCACATGAAACTTTGCAAAGATTTGATGCGCTTTCTTCCTTCTTGCTCCTTGTCAAGAGTCCTTCTCTTATATTTTATGTATTTTCACTTTATTTGAAAATCAGAGAGACAGAGACAGTAAGATCTTCTGTCCACTGGTTCACCCCCACCATGTACGCACACAACCAGGGGTAGGCCAGGCCAAAGCCAGGAGCCTGGAACTCCATTTGGGTCTCACATGAGTGTCAGAGACCCAAGCATTCAAGCCATTGTTCTCTGCCTCCTAGAATGCACAGTAGCTGGAAGCTGGATCAGAAGTGGAGTAACCAAGCATCCCAAGCAACAACTTAACCACTCTGCTGAGCACCCACCTCAACAGTGTTTATTTTACAGTACCATAATTTATTCCTATGTGGAGATAATTTCTCTAAATATTAGAAAAACCTGAGGATGAAATTGAAAAAATATATGGGAATTGGTATTGGGAGTGAAGTTCAAAAATGCATTCTAAATTAATCCAACTGTAGAATTTACAGAGGGTCTAAAACTTTAGTAAAGCTGTTTTTTACTGTTACGTGGGAAAGGTAGTTACAAAGGGGGCAATTGCTATCCCCATGTTCCCAGAGTTTAAGGCAAACAAGCGTAAAATGAATAAAAGGCAAAGTGACAGAGACAAAAGATGAGAGCTGCAGCTGCTGGAGACCTGAGTGGAAAAGAAAGGTGTTGAGGCATCAATACGGTATGAAGGAGGGTGGAATGAAGAAGTTGATTCAAACCTTTCTGAGGGCAGTCATTTGGCCCAGCCGTTGAGAGAGTGTTGGGACCCCCATGTCCCATATCAGAGTACCTGGCTTTGATTCCTGGCTCCAGCTTCCTGCTACTGCAGAGCCGTGGGCGCTGCAGTTGATGGCTCAAGTCATTGAGTCCTGCCGTCCACATGGGGGAACTGGACTGAGTTCCTGGTTTCTAGCTTTGGCCCCCCAGCCGTTGCAAGCATTTGGGGAGTGAACCAGAGGATGGGCACTCTCTCTCTCTTTTTCTTTCTGCCTCTCAATTTTTTTTTTTAATTTCTGAAGAAACTTCCCACAGTAAAATAGTGGTGATGTTTGTTCCCCTTCTACCTCAAAAGGATAGCAGAAGCGGTGAGGGGGGGGTCTCAGCATAAGGGTCAAAGCCCTGTTTCTGTGCATCTAGCTGGTAGCCTCCAGATTGGTTTGGGATAGGTTTGGCTGTGAGTGATACAAACTAATCCCCCACCCCCAACCCCAGGTAATGTAAACAAGATTGATGCCTCCAGATAGTGGAGCAAGGTTGATATGGCCCTCCATCACGTTAAGGACACAGACTCCTCCTGTCTCTTTGCCCCCTCATACATTTGTTGTACATCATAACATCCATTTCTAGAATCAAATATTTTACAGCTCAGAATATCTACTTAAGCTCTCAGCATCACTACCTGGAGTCTAACCATCAGGGAGGAGAAAAGCAGAGAGGGCCGGACCTTCTTCCTAAAATGACACTCCTAAGAAACTGTATATAATTATTTCCTCTCATTTACTTGTAGACACACCCACACCCTGCTGACTAGAATTCTGTCACATTGCCATACATAAGCTGCAAGAGAAGCTTGGAATATTTCTCTTTTTTGGAGACCACGACCAATCTGAAATTCAGAAGTCCCGTCATATACAGATAAAAGGGGGAAGATATTGAGGAACACTGTTGTCACTGCCAGCTGATCACTAAAAACTCAATGCAAATGAGATTGAAAATGTCTTCCTCTGTATTTTTTCCAGTTTTGAACTTGGATTCATCAACATCAGACCTGGACTTTGCTATAAATGTTTGTCAGGAGGATACGAAGACAAATAATTACAGAGCAAGCAGAACACTATAAAATCGTTCCTCAGCTTCTGATGGCAGCCTTCAGGCAAAATTAGTGAATTAAAGTTGTCTGCTTCCTTACACCTAGTGCAAAGGCCTATGACACGCAAGAGGCCTGAGCCCTTTGGCAGTGATTGAAGGTGCTTGCGTCCCTCCTCCGTGGAGGTGAGGGGGAGCAAGTGTGATCAAAATAGCCAGAGAGAGAGGCTGGGAGTACTTGAAATTCAGCAGGTAAGCAGCCTTTGTCTCCAGACAGCTGTAAACACCAGAGACCTGGATTCCTTTTCAGATCACACTGGATTTTTATTAATGTGAACTGAATCTGCGACTAGTAGCAAATACACAGGCTGTGAGGGAAAGCACTTCAGGAACAGGAGAGGGAATGGACTCGCCCTGATGCCAGTCTATTTTATATCAAAGGTTCATGTGAGAACTGATTAATGCTGAATTTGATCACTCTCAATCACACAGACAGAGAGGACTTCAGCATCACAAGGACTGAAGGCAATGACTGCACTCCAGCACTGCTGGTCACCCCCACATTCAAACCTGACAAATGAGATGGAATGAATTGATGTAAAGGCTAAGGCACAAACTGGCCACTCTCCAGTGAACCTAAACCAAGGTGTTTTCGTTTGGCCAATGCAATCTGCATGTGTGTTTAAAATTACATTTACACCCTTCTAAAGTAAGACCAAAATCTCCAATTTGCTACAGTCTCTTCCATTACCTGTCACAACCAGCCAACTTCACACTTTCACATTAACTGTCTGGACCCTGAAGGCATTTTAACTTTTAGACACTCCTACACCACCCCTGAGCTAGAGAAGAAAAAAAAAAAAAAAAGAAAAAAAAAAAAAAAACCCACAGCCTCCTTAGAGTAAGTTAATTCAGGAAATGGAGATATGGAGATAGCAAGGAGATTTAGTTGAAAAGAAAATGAGATGGCACATTGCATTGGAGTGCACAGCAGTTTGAAGTGTTTTTAATTCTTAGTGGACATGATGATAAATAGGCAGAAAAAGAAGCCAATCGGGGGCAGTCTATTGGTGTCCTCAACAAATATGCTACGTGAATATATAGGTTTCTGTCCCTCTGGGATTAGCGTATGCTGTCAGGAACACACTGTCCTTCAATTGTATTAGTGAAATATATCTTTGGGGGAATTTAATTTGCAAAAGTCTAATGACCCACAGTTGCCCAACCACTCCCCTATTTGGAAGCCAAATACAAAAAGTACTTAGTGGTGGTGATTCATCTGCCTTTGACGGTCCTGCAAATGGGATCTGCAGGGGTCAGGTCTGGGCCCAGAGCCATTGAGTGTTTTCTGTAATGATTTGGAAGATGAAGTTAAACGTTCAAAGAGCTGACTGCTGCAGGACAGATATGCCTCTTAGGAGAAAACTTGTTAATTCTGCTTCTAAACCAGGAACAGAAGCCCCAGGAAGGAGAGAGCGCACAACGGGGGCATTAATGAACAGCTCGTTAGTTTCATGCTGTAGCTCCAGAGGCAATTAAGTAGTCTGGGTACCATTTCTGGCCAAAGTATATAGACAGAAGGAGATGAACACAGTCAGATCCAAGTTCGTTCAGTGACTGTGGCACTCTTAAGTCCTGAAATTACTTGGAGGTGGGAAAGAGTGTGTCTAGCCTAGCACTGAGGCCAAAGAACGAAACTGGGAGTCAAGATGTCTCTTTGTCTCAGTTAGGTCCGGCTGTCCTGTCCCCTGTGGTCTTTCAGAAAATTCAGGAAAAGTGGGGGTGCTGGGGCCATCTCCACAGAACAAGTCCATGGACCAGCCTACCACATTTACCACAGGAGAGTGGGGGAATGGTCCGCGGGGAAGGTGTGAGCTACATGGAATGGCCTTGTCGCCTGTGGAGGAAGCCACGGCCCAGGCAGGCAGATAAAGAAACACAGGGCGTCACTCATGGGGCATCTTTTGGTGGTGGAGTTAAAGGCCTCGAGATTCCAGAAAAGCCAGGAAAAGTAACCAAGGCAAGTTTTTCCCCTAGAGCCCCCACTTTTGCCATCTGTGGGATGTATCAATGGGCAAAGTATCCCAAGTTAAATGTCTTCCGTTGGAATTAAAGACAATGGAGTCATTCAGTAAATTGTTTCATATCCTTTTTATTTATTTATTTTTTTGACAGGCAGAGTTAGACAGTGACAGAGACAGAGAGAAAGGTCTTCCTTCCGTTGGTTCACCCCCCAAATGGCTGCTACGGCTGGCGTGCTGCACTGATCCGAAGCCAGGAACCAGGTGCTTCTTCTGGTCTCCCATGGAGTGCAGGGCCCAAGCACTTGGGCCATCCTCCACTACCTTCCCGGGCCACAGCAGAGGCCTGGAAGAGGAGCAA